AAACTTGTTTGAAATTTGAATAACTATAACTTATTAAGGTTATGACAATCGATGGCATAAATGATTCACGCTATTAATTGTATAGCTATGGTTTCCATGATACTATATTATGGACTATTTGAAATTTGACTATATTTTATCAAAAAAATAACATGATTATTGTTCCTCACTTAAGGAAAAACCTTATACTAATATAATATAAAAGCTACTTTCAAGTCGCAATATCATTAAACTTAACAAAAACTATAATTTTATCAATCAACTCTCTCACATCCAAAAATTTAATTAATTCTAATAGAATATATCTTTTATTTCATATTATAATAAATAAAATTAATAAAATGTAAACAAGTCTGGGATTTCTAAACTRACGATGACACATTTTACGAAAATGAGCGTTGATAAACGTTATGYYGGTTATGATATAATAATTGAACTGAATATTATATAATTAGGACACCAAAAGCAATTGAAGGCAGAAATAATAATAATTTGTTATTGTTGTATAACGATGTTTCAATTGATTTTATTGTAATAAAAAATAAACGATTATTACAATATTTTAAAAGTATTTGGTTTGAAAAGGAGGGGAAAAATGAGCATATTTATCTTAGATGGTAGAATGAATTATATTTTTCAATTATAGATTTCCAATAGTATTATGTTAATCACATAATAAAAACACGTAAACGCGATCAGTAGAACAGTAGAGAGTTTATATACTGTAGACATTTTCATTAATAAACTTCCTCCTAAYGCTGAGATTTCTATTTGCCTGACGATATTATAATAATAATTTTTCTACATCGCTTTCGATGATGATTATATTATTATTCTTTCGCGGATTTAATGGCAATCGTATTCCGTTGCAGCAGTGGCGGCGGCCACGCGTCTCGTCAACTATATAATAATATACGCTACGCTAAAGTCGAAGTGGGACAAATCGAGCAATTCGTCACACTAATAAAGAGATATTTTATGACACTGAGACTTCAATCGGATTCGTTTGTATATAATATAATAAATCACTTCCGATTTAGAGAACGGCACACGTAATGTTGTAGCTCGTGGAATTCGTAAAAGTAACCACCGGAAGCATATTTCTGACAGAGTATCTCCACATATCGTACTCATCTGTAACGCCATCTTATACTTCTATTTTTCCACCAATAATTAGTTTATTCAAACACTCATTTTCGGAACTTTTGATTATAATTCTTGAGGACCTACTTTCAACTGTTTAGATTTGTGTACCATTTAAGACAAGTGAYCCATGGTGGTGAAGTGAACTTTTCACTTTCAAATGAAAATCACCTTTTTTYTCCGTAAATTATTAACCATATRCCATTTTTTGGAAACGCTGATGTATCTACRTAAATMTAATTCCGAACTAGTTGTATTTGACTTATTAAACTTAGATGTATACATAGGCGATGTGCTGTATTTAAAACTAAAGTTATTAATATATTAATCTAGGTATCAATATTTTATAATTTGTAAAAATGTCTGAGTAWAATAAAATATACTTGATCCAATATTACGTCTAATTTGTATTTTTGTAAAACGATTTTTAAAAACTATTATCCATAGTATCTTTTATGTATTATATTAATAACTATAAGAAACAAAATAAATTTGTACCACCACAGGACAGTAATGTATATAGAAATAAATTTCGGGGTGGGCTATAATATAATATAGCAACTAACAATAATTATCCAACACCTATAAGTTACTATATAATATGTAGCAGTTAATACTGTAATTTCGGGAGGTACTGCAGCCCACTAGGCCCCCCTTTATACGCCACTGCCACAGGACACTTTTTAATTGGTATAATAAATCTATACAATTGAATATATAGCCCTGGGGACTATAGAGTACACTTCAGAGTATCAGAGTTTGAATAAATTCATCATAATAGAACAGATGAGGTTGAGTACCTATGCCTGAAAATATTGATTGAGGTATATGAAATTAAAAGTGGTCCCCCAAAACGACTTTTACGTGAATTTGACACAAATTTATTATTGTTTAATGAAGTAGCTATTATATGTATGTCAATGATATAACTTTAAAAAAAAAGTTAAATATAAAGAATTAACTATTAAGTTAAGTAATATAACGTAGTCACTAAATCCCAGAGATTCGACATTGGTGAGGGCCAAGGGGGGATTGTGTCGAATTCACACGATTCGTATCACGAATGATTGCCTATTAATTAATCTGTAAATAGATATAATTATATATTGTTGTGTTTTTGATATGAACATGTAGGTACCTATAGAATATTATAATGGTTTGTCTATACYTATAGAAAATATACAATTAAAAAGTCGGTCGTTTGAACTACGGTCGCGGTCGTTTAAATTTTAGTCGTTCGGAGCACGGGACACAATTTCGTGTAACGCCCGGGGTCCATTGGGTCCTTAATCCGGATTGACTGGATGACGGTCAAAATATCTCATGTAATAAGTATTAAATACCTCTAGTACCAATTATAATAATATACCCACCTCCGACGAATAGAACCTCCAATAGTGGATAAAGGTTAATATACACAAAAGCGTGCATTTAACACAACCGTATTTTATTTTTATTATTAACCTTTTTTATTACCTAACCTATTCTATATTGTTCATATTATATGTGAAATGCATACACAAAATATTATCTATCAATCACTTAGGTACTTACACTATACTTACACAGTTATATTATAGTTACAATACATATGTATAGTTATATACAGTGAACGGGCRTACAATTCATACTTGTTCAAATTCAGATGCCTGACTYTTGGAAAAATAAGGGGGATAAGTGATAACATAATAATATTACAATACTATGTTATGTCAGGACTTGATTGTATAATACCTATGAGAATCCAATCTATCAGAATAAGTCTGAATAACTACTGTGGTACATAGAATTTTTTTTTATAGTTTATTAAGACTTCGACAACACAGGGYCCATAGAATTGTAACACATTCCGAAAGAAATTGAACAACGTTCAAGAAAAGATAATAGAAGGACCTATATAGTATTGTTTATTATCATAAACCATATTTTAATAATAAATTATGAAATATTTCGTATATTTTATCAATAATATGCTATTTTACTTATACATATTTTAAATAATTTACACTATGCTTGAAACGAACACTTTTAAATCGGTACATGAATTGGCAATTACATTTTTTGCCCTAGAGCTAAAAAACAACAACAAAACRAGCAAGGATATACGTTTTAAAATAACACAATAGGCATTAAATTTTTTACATACTTATTCGGTAGTTTGGTGCATATTGTAAACGTATTTTTTAATTCGCATCACCCTTAACCCCTCCCCTCCAACCAATATGMACATTAATTATTTAATGCGATTGATGAAATCGAATCAGCTCTAATCGAATTAACGGTCGCATAGAAACGAGGTAAAAACGAAAATATAACATTGATCAATTACGTGTAAATGGCGGCCAACAGCGCGGCCACGGGTTCGGGACCGGCGTCTGCATCCATRGCGAAGCGGGCCACCACGTACAGCATGTCATGGTGTTTGCCAAGCGGGCACACGGACCCGTTGTGCCTGACCACGCGGCCGTGGTAGGCTACGGACCCGGCCACCGCAGCCTCGCAAGCCCGACGCCTATCCCGGCCGCACCACTGTCCGCACAGCCCGTCCACCACGGTGGCCAGGTACTCGCGGTGCATTGACCGCTTGTAGGCCGGTATCAGCTCGTCTCGTTCCAGTTTGTCCACGATCTGTGCATAAAACTCGTCCAATACTGCCTGCATGTTCACTCCTGAAACGTGGTCGTCAGTCGTCACGTGCACGGCAGACAAACAGACAGACCGACCGACCGACCGATCGACCTACCCATCATTGACCGACCGACTGAACGACAGAGACAACGACTTACGATTCACCGCCGCCCTCGGAAGCCATAATATCGTATTTGTACATAATATTATTATACACAGGGTGACTCATCGAGTATGCTCATCGCTCGCCCCTATTTCGTCCGCTTCGCCAATGTATGTGCGTTTATTGAAATTTTGATTTTTTGGAATTTTTAAGAACAGTTATATTTCCATGCCATTAAAGGAGTGTTGCGGTGCTAATAACCTCTTTTTTTTCAAACGATAGCGATTATAATGTTGATTTTAAAAATAATACATCTAAATCTAACGACTGCTTAACTAAACTTCATAAATTAATATATACCGTGGCTATAGTTTAAAAACTCAGAAACTACCTACTCTTTCGAATTTCAATCAAAGTTCAAAAAAAAAAAAAAAGATCGTATGCTCAACATTTATTAAATTATAAATATTATAGCAATAGCAATAATATTTAATCACCATGTGTACAATATAATATTACATCATCAATTCGGACTTTTTCCATTCGTTGTATATATTATGGTTTATACTATAAACTTTATAGTATACGGTGGCCGATGGATAGTATTTGGAAGTATTTGAAAATATTGAATCCATTAAAACGCGTACGATTTAATATTATGGTAAATCGTATCATCGTACCCTTGACCGTCGACCACGGTTAGATGGCCATTGAGTCATTACACGCCGGTAGGTTAACGTTAATCTAACCGACCGTATAACTAGGAACCAGAAACGTTCTGAAAACTAGTCACCAAGTCGTATACCTATGTGTTTGTACACGTATGTGTGACAAACGAGTTTCCGGTATCAAGACTTGGTCACCGGCGCCACCCGATACGTACCTATAAAGACGCGCCCACACGAGTAAAACGATCAGTTTTCACGTACGGTACTACGGTGTACGTCGATCGTTCGGATTATAGGTAGGTATAGTAGGTAATATTATTATCGTCTGTGTGAGTATATATACCTACCGACAAACCACGGTTTAACAGCCAAATAATAATGTAATGATGACGGCGGACGGTATGCAGCCAATCCTCAAAAATGTTCAGACACAATCAACATAAATATATATATATATATATCGCTAAGTGACGAGTGAGCTCGGTGTAAAACAAGAAAGTTATTTGTAAAAAACCATACAATCATAATAATAATGATAATAATAGCAAGTACCTATAAACCTATTATGATTAAAAATACATAAATTACTTTCTGTACCACATCATTATTATTATATTATAAGACACGTATGCCTACCAGTTAAATAATAATTYCATATTTTGAAAAAAAAATATACCTACCTAGTGAAATCATTATAATCATTATAAAGTTTGAATATTGTTTTTTTGTTTAATATATATACATATATAGTGTATTGAACTATTATAAACCTATATTTCTGTCTATAAGAAATTAATCATTGGACCATATTTTAATCAAACCAGTTTCTAAAATTAAATACCTATGTACTAGGTAATAAKTAATAAACTATAATAACTAAATTACCTATATTATATTACTGTATAATATAATATAATATTTATGTACTATGTAGTAGGTACATTGGCCGGTTACGTAGTCCAGCTAAACTGCGTTTTTCTCTGCATTATAAAAATACGTATCGCGAGTGTTGGCGAACATAAAAATTGAGTATTTCATWCCATAATTGTTTATGACTTTAGCGTAATTAAAGTGCGTTAGTCCACAAACTAAATTGGTTTTGTTATTTCGAATTTGAAAAAATAGAAGAGAAAGCTTCAAACGGAAATGCTTAAATCTCTCGTGACTCACGGATGACAACAGTGAAGACTTTGAGTGCATATATGAATGAAAGATAAAAATAATAATAAGTAGGAAAAAATAATAAAGGTAGTTTCACTGYAGAATTATTTCACTTATTTCCATATAATATAAGCCTTCAGCCATTGTTTTGTTTTCGTATCGATCGATACTTTTACAGCAATATAGATGTATACAACGATAATCAATTTTYCAGCTTCGTTAAGCTATACACATTAAATAAAGCGATAAACAATATGAAAATTCATATGGGTAATATACAAATAAGGTAAACTTTTCCCTTGTTCAGATAGTTAGTGTTTAGAAAATTCTTTATGTATTTTGTCAAGACTAATAAAGAATTGAGTACCAGAGGTAGTATAGGTATATAGGTCGATGTGATCGATGTATGAACAGTTGCGGCTCGATAAATACAAGACGTGCACGAAACGTGTCCAGCGTGGTAGTATCAGTTTTGAGTACAAAAAAAAGACGTCATCTCATGACAATAGTTTTTTTTCTTGTTCCATTTCAGAAATAAATAAAAGAAAACCAAACAAACGAAAACTCATCATTTTCTTCAGAGTAAAAACTTTTGAAAAACTCAGATAATAAACAATGATAATGATGTGTCCTATGTATGTACTGTGTACCTGGTATGCAGTATAAGAACATACATCTAATTAACATGAAAATAATATAAATTCGTGTTGTATAATAATTATTATGCATTTGTTTCCCGCAGTGTCCTGAATCAGAGCAACAACTGGGACCCGCAGTTCGAGTTCACATACAGGGGCCTGGTGCCGATGAAAGGAAAACCTGAACCAATGAAAGTTTGGATTTTAACCAGGAAACGTGAAGGCATCGAAAACTCCGAACTGTTGCAACAATAATAATAATAATTATAATTATAATAATTATCATAGTTCAATTTTCTTCTTTTCCTATACAGTTTGTTTGTCGTAGTTAAAAATATTACAGATGCATGTCATCGAAAGTTATGATCATTTAAAAATAGAATATAATATTATATAATTATAAAAGTAACATTAACGAGAGTTTGYCATTATTAATTTTTTTTTCCTCCACTTTGGAAAAGTCGAACGTCCTTGTTTCTCTCGGTTTTTTTGTTTCGGTATTTTGGCGCCGGAATGTCAGATATTCCATGTTATACCGCCGGCCGACTTGTCCTCAACAATTACGTGTTATTATTATTATCATCATCATCATCAAACACGAATACCGAACGGGTGGGCACAACATAATAATAATAGTAATAATATGATAAGACGTATTATTATAAGTGATTCTCGTTGAAAGACCACAGCAGCGGCAGTGCGGGAAAAAAAGTAGCCCATGATACCTGTCTGCCTACCCATACTACCTAGGTAACTCGCTTCATTCCTGTCTGCCGCGTGTTTCCACCGGTCTGGTGGGGCGTGTACAAACTGGTTTGCGCGATCTCGTCCGTCCACGTCGGACTGGTTAATGGTTACCTATCGCAGTACCGACAGTCTTGTTCTTGGAAGATCGCGTCGCGCCCGTCCACTCGTCTCGAACACCGATATTTCATGTTGCTCCGTTTTGTAACCCGAAAAACGGTTTTTCGATTTTAATTTCGTAGGTGTAAGCGTTCGTTTGGTTTGTGGTTTTTTTTCACTATTATTCGATACGCAAATCACACATATTATCAAACACGAGTCTATTGGATATCTGCAGACTTCGGCAAAAAAAAAGGTAGGTAAATGGTGTATTTGCGTCCCCTTTTAAAAACGTTTACAAAAAAGAGTTGTCAGGCAGGCTAGGCAAACAGTCGCGTGTGCTGTGATAAGTCTTGTCTTGATTTCTTGCTTTGAAAATTCTTGCGTCTGCCGTTTTTCGAAATTTCTTGAAGAAAAATAGTCTACTACAATAACAACAACAACAACAACAACAACAACAACAACAATGAAGACAACGATACAATATATAACCCCCGGCATTGTGTACGAGGATCGTCCCCTTTCATCCCTTTTGAAGTTCGTAATTAATGTTTCTCTGTAATTATATACGTCATTCAACAACCCCTTTACGTACACAACTCACAGATTGCGTACAGCCTTGCGGTCTATACCATTACAATATCTGATGTCTGTTCCCTATACCCGTGTAGGTAATTTGTGTTTACCGAAGAGAGTGAAAAAAATTTRAACGAGCTGTTAAATCTTTTTTATTGTTTACACAGACTTGTAACTATCGACKGGTGGTTGTGACTTACGAAAAAATCACAGCATAGGAACTAATATATTATTATATTATGGTTTCCAATAATTGTAAATAATATTCTCTTAGTGGGTCTTTGGTACATATATATATATATATATATATAATGACGAATTTTTTGTTTTCTCGTGTTAGTATTATATTAATGATAAATGTGTACACACGCAGAGTTCTTAAAATATTATGACTTGGTCTTAAGTAACGTTAACGTAATATATTATATRGTTATACAWACTCTTACAGACTGCTGCGTAGAGGCATATGATATACGAATCCAAGAGAACGTGTGTAACCAGCTCAAGTATAATATAATAATTATAGTTTGAATCGGATTATATGTTGTTGGCGCGTTAGCACGCGATGGGAACTAACGGTGAACGGGTCCAGAAATCGTCCAGAAAAAACAACAATTTTTAAAACACGCCTCGGGACATTCGGGTTGATTTCGTAGACGCACGCGTATGAAACAATATCCACCAAGAATAATATTATCATATACAACTTATATATATATAGGTATATGGATGTATACGGTAGAATACGATACGAGTTACGAAAGAAATCGAATTCGTTTTCGAATTATTGGCCTCATATAATATGAGTCATATTATGTTTGATATGTATTTCGAGAGATTCGTGTTGTGACATAGGAAAATGTAATAMCACTAATAATAATAATATTATTATTATAACACGGTAACAATGGCATTTTCGTTCTCGTGAGCGCTGTAATWATATGATTTTGTTCGAACTATGGTACGTACATTATTGATTTTACCGAGTAAAATATATCAAAACGGACGCGCTCACCTGTAACAAATGTCAGCTACCTTCCGGCAAAAGTTGTACCTATATAAACATAAGAAAAATGCACGCTGATTTGATCGATAAATTATAATATTGAGCCGCGGTCGCTGCTGTGCTGCACACGACATCGATCAACTTTATTATTTTTCACGTTGTTATCACTATCTTTGGTAATATTTATATTTTCATTAGCAATAAAATAGTGTCATAGACGCGTTTTTAGTAGAACGCGCAYGGCTTGGTGTGTCACTGTAAACTATCAGACCATTTCGAAATAATCGTCTGTTACCGATGATAGCAATGCATATTATGTATCAMGCGGATCCATATAATTCATTAATAAATAATAATAACAATAACAACAAAAACAATAATAATAGTCATTAATAGTAATAATAGTGGCAATGGTGTGGCAGATTCAATTTTTTTTCTACTGCACATTTTTTACTCGTAGGTATATATTATACTGCGACATCATATGACATATACACAACGGCCACCAGTGCTTTACACGCTCCAATAAGTTGTCCACGTTTGTCGTGTACAGACATAAAAATTATAGTTTTAAATATTATTTTATATCTGCCGTGTCTGAACCCGCGCCAGATCAAAATGTGCAATTCGAAATAATGACTTTTACCTATCAAACCAAACACACGCACACGTGTACAGTCATGAAATAATCCGTAGTCGAGTGGCTCATTATGGTCCATAGTTTCATACTCACCATAATACGCGTATGTTATACACGAGTAAGACGCAAAAAACGTACAAAATCCTTTCCAAAATGACTCCTTCGAATATTGTTTTCCAGTCATAGACACGACATCGCTGTCGATCGAGCAATTTTAAATAACTCAAATTCTTATTACGTCAAAATTACTACTTTTCCTTTTCCAATTTTTTCCGTGCGCAGCTCATTAACTATCACTAATTATTACACCACACGGCACACATCACTATATAATAAATAATAATAATGTTAGCTTAATATAGGCGCTATTTTCTGCAATAAATTGAAAAGCTCAATTTACTCTATTTACGCGTTGTTTCTATTATATTTAAAACCATCTTCTTGTAATTATTTGTCTTTGGTTTAAATAAATCAAACCAATCTGTGTAGCATGATGGTCAAAATCATATTATTGTTTAAAACTTTTAATTGAATTTTTAATTTTGTCATTTCCTTGAAAGGATTAAATCCAAGTAAACTGTTTACTTGGTTTAAACTTAATTTCATAAATTGTCGAATAAAAAACGTAAGTATAATATAAAAAGAAACCTGTACACCAATAGATACCAGATCAATTTAAAATTTGAATATATTTTTTTTTTAAACGATTAAAAAGAGACGATGGACTTCTTTATAAAAAAACATGTTCAATGTGCAAATCCATCAACGTTTACCTATCACAGCTAAATATTTTTTTTTTAAATAATGAATAAAATARTATGAAATTGAAATTTGAAATACGGAATTATTGTATTCGATATTAAACATTTTGTAATATATAGAATCAAGATATTTGTTATTTTAGTTTTGGACTTTTAATAGAATCTTTATGGTATGGAATTAATATTTTTGTTTCCTATGAAAAATCATAATATTTGCAACCTCATGAAGTCATGAACAACAATAAATTTACGAATAATTATTATAATGTATCACATTATAGTTATCCTTATTTCTTTATTTCGATCACTTAGTTTAAACATATAAATATTTTATACGAGTACATGTAAGTACATATTGTAGTACCTAATTTGTATTTATATGATTCTTTTGTACGTGAGTWCGTCACTGAACTCCTAACCGCCTGGATCTATTTTGATGAATTTTTTTATGCGTTTGAGTGGGTCCCTGGATGGTTTAAATTTACAATTATACCCATATATTGATATGTATATTTTAATATTAATATGTAAATAATAAATAGGTATTCAGTTTAAATATTACAAAGTGTATAAAATGGTAAAAGTACGTAAATATTTACTTTGACATTTTGTCTTGTATCGCTTAATTAAACTTTTCCAATGTATTCTAGTGTTTTTAGCTATACTATATATGTGTACAATATTTATCTATAGAACGATTTATCATTTAAAAAAAAAAACAGRTTTTCACTTAGTTTTTTAAATTAGTTAGTATTTTACACTGCGGGATTTGAACAGTCGCTATACATAATAATATGTACCATCCGAAAATAACAAACGTTTACGTATTATTATATTGTTGTTTAATCTCGACAAGATCTGCCTGGTCATTTGTCCTATCAAATGAACATCAATCATCACACATACTGTGGAGGTTGGACGTCGTTCCTTGTCTGCTCGGGATTGAATGGATGTCAAAAAAAAAGGCAATTCTTTTTAAGTCAAACATCGCCGGACCAAATCATCGTGTCCCACAGYGAAGACACGCTTTCTAGAGACAATGCCATTTTTACTCATATATTAATATTGTTAAACAGCCTTTCGTATTGATATTTTTCTCGTAGTTAGCATATTGAATTTTGCTCTCATGGTCACCGGTGCGTGTACAACAACTGACCGAAATCGTAATAATAGTTATAATAATATTTTATTTAATATAATAATATATGACGTCCGATTAGAATTTGCCATGTTTTGTTTCTCGATTTTCTCGGACCGATCGCGAACGGTCGACAACGCTCCACCGCACCGTCTCGCCGCCAATCTATTCTTCTCCACACACCAGACACACACGCGCATGGTCCGCCGAACAATGAAGAAAACCCATTGTCTTATGGCACTACGCACAAGTCATGGTTCGCACAAATATTGCTTTTTTGAAAATTGATTCATTTGTTTTTTTTCTTGGTTTCTAGTATGAAAGATAAATTTACTCGATTACCTAAGTAATATTTTTTCTCTCCAGAACCCTGACTTCCATCACCGGTTGTACATTTCTGTACGACCACTGAACCGAATACTTTTAAAATATTTTACGCTTAGTATGCTATTATACACGATCACTTTATTATTTTAGCATATATGTCTAACAATAGCATAATATAAGTGTAATTTCAAAATTAATTCGAGGATCGAAAATTTGTGAAAATATCTCACAATATATTTTATACCGTTCAAATATAATAAATGTATAAGCCTCCATAACAGCATTATATAGTTTTCGTAGGAACATTCTATCTGGCAATATCAAAATCGTTTGTAAACCAGAGTGATATAATATTAATGCAAGTGTACGTGAACAAAATAATAGTAAAAATTAATTTTTTCCCACGAAGTTATTCTAAGAATTCAATAACAAATATAATATATTATAAACATATTCCTTTACATCCAATTTCACCGATATTCATTTAGACAATAGGTACACCAAAAGTTATGTCAAAAGTTAATTTATACTTGTGTATACCTAACGTTTGAATATTACAGAAATCCTTAAAAATATGTTTTTTAACATTGAAATACGTATGTGACAGTAAGTCAATTTATTAGCAGATAAAAATATTTTACGCAGAAGGTACTGTTATATAAGACAGAAATACCGAATGATAACCTAGATCCTATCTTAATCATATAGCTTATTCCACTAACTACTATGGCTGATCAATGAAATATTAAACCGGTTTCATTCCATTACTGGAAGTTGTAGTAATTGCATATTTCCAGGAATTTATATAAATATATATTATAATATTACTAAATCAATGACGAAAGATTCAGATAAGTTGTAAAATAAATTCAACGTCCGTTTAACTGGATGTATTATTTGTCACACGCTAATACGCGAATAAAAGTCATGAGCATACAGACCACAGACGTTTCAAAATTCATTAGATAAATTGAAAAGAAAACGTTCTGCTAAAATCAGATACTAATTCATAATTTTCAAGTCAGAGGATTTATCATATAATGGATAAATAATGTGATAATGCATATTTAAAATCTAAAACTTTATTCTATGTCCAACAGTAAATTATATTCAAAATATAATATTTATTAATACGCGTAAAACTGTGACCAGTGAATTCGCTGAAAAAAAATGATTTAATTTATAGGAGGAGTTATTTTACATCTATGAACGATGAGTCATTTTTTAATATTACTATAATTTAAAATTTATAAACATCTTTTTTATTATTATCGATAAATTCAAAAAACATTAAAATTGTGTCACTTTTGAATCTGCATAATGTTTTGAAAGTAATTATATATGTGTATATTGTAGTAGTAGTAGCTAATGTTATTACAGTTAATTTATAGAGCCACATATTTCACCAAACGGCTTATTATTTTCAAGTAACAAAAACGAAATATATAAAAATAATAAACAATATTGTATTTTAGGAAATCAATCGCAATTTGATCGGTTTTGTAGTGTGAACAAAATGTATTCAATAATATAATATGCTCGTATAAATACTAAAAAATTTTGTAACTAAAGCTAAAAAATACTATCAATAGATAATCTATACTTCATAGCGATATAGCTATATTTTTACTTTACTAATGAGTAACTACCAATTATAGCATGTTTATCAATTAATAATAATATTTTATACGCATAATATAATGTTATAGTCTATAAAAAAATTGTAAAAAGATCAAATTAAAAAAAAAAAATCAATTTATTTAATTATGCGCCGTTTAAAGACGCGATCCTGATATCACTCGGTTAAAAAATTAATTCTCGCGAGAGAGAAATAATTCAAGTATAAATCTTAATTGATACTACATTTCATGAATATATTATAACAAATACAACAAAAAGTTTAGGTTTTATAGATATTTGTTATCCTGCTAACGTACTAAAGTCTAAAATGCATAATTTAAATTCAACGATGTTCTAAAAATTAATATGCCATATAGACCACCGCCTACCACACGCATTATGATTTTTTTTTTAGTTACATAAAAATAATTAGTTTATGAACATATAATATATCGAAGCTATCAACGCACGAGTGAAGAATGGCTTGTGTAGGTATGTTTTTTTTAAACATAATATGATTATGATATCTTACATCATGATTCGTGGTATACATACTCATTCGGTCGACCTAAGTGTAGTAGATAATTGTTCTGAGATGTACCTATATTTTTGTATGCATTATCCGGCCAACATATTGTTCTATTTTCCTTCAAACTTTATTATTTTTCAATAGCATTTTGGTAGTGGATTTTTTTCATCCTGTTTTTATTATTGGTAACGACTAAAAGGTGTTAAAAATAATAAGTTAACATACCTATAAAATTCTTCATTTTATTATAATTTTATAAGTGAATGTACATTTTAACAAGAAACATGATATAAAAGGTTTTAATTTCCGTTATAATTATAATAATTTAATTAAAGAGGTTAGTATTTTTTATGATATAGATTGTATCGCATGTGTGTGTTACAATAAAAATAAATAAAAATTACATTTATAATTTTATAGTAGCTAATAGCTATAATTTAAAGGACAAAGTTTTTCCTTTATTGCTTTTTTTAAACACACACACAACTATAAGTTATGGTTAGCAAAATTCATAAAAAATTAAATTTACACAGCATAATGTATTAATGATATAAATATCCAAGAGTACGCCCAACCGGTAAAAAAGAACATGACCCTATTATACCAACTTATTAATAACTGTACAGATTTGTAATATATATATATAACAACTATGGTTTTAGCTTTAGATTCAATCGAATTTAATGAGAATATAATAAAATTATTTGATAACTTTACTGAGTTTTTTTATCATTATTAAATTGGATACTATTTATATTTAGCTAACGAGAATAAGTTTAATTAATGGTTWGGGGGGTTTAAATAACTGATTTTAATTTTAAGAATAACATTTGTATTAAAATTTAAAAAAAAATACTATGAATTTACTAAAGATTAAAAATAATTTTAATTATGTGATATAACTATACAAGTATAAAGGTACAATTCATGTAACATGGCCTTATTGTAAAAAAAAAAAAAAAAAAAATAGTACACTAACCTAATTAAATGTAAATCCTTAGATTTATAGTTTGGGAAAATTTTTCATTATGATTGTATTATTATTTTTTTATGTGTATTTTTCGTGTTATAAATAGGGCCAACATAATTTTGGTCCTTGGTACTTCAAAGGTGAAAATAATATTAGGATACATAAATAATTAAATGATTTAATAGGTAGGGTTAGGTTGCCTACGTTATTATATTGAATAATTGCACCATTACGATATAAGCTATAATTATTTTAAATTCACTCGCATAGTCACATCATATCATTTTTAATCGATTTGTTTGTCAGTATTTTAATTTGTTTCAACTGTAACACTTTTTTAAATTTTTAACTATAATTATTAATATTAGATTTTTATTTAAACTATAAATTTATGCGTCGATTCTTTGTATTGATCATGTATCGTTTTATCTGTTGGTGTCAGTAGTCTCTGCGCACAATATTCTGTTAATATATACGTAAATACCTACATTGTACGTTGATAATATTACATTATACATTTTTTCACCGGACCAAAACCATCATTAAAACACATCCTGTTAAAACAGTATTGATTTTGAAGTCCTCGGTACACATTATGGGGTTTTTTATCGTTTTAAACGTACCATATAAATTTTAATAGGTACCTATACGTGTATTTTTCCCATAAAAATATCGGTTGAGGTCGTTTCTAATAAATCGAAAAAAAATCAAATAAAACGAAAGAAAAAATAATAAACAACGATTTTGAGGAAAACCATATTTATAGTCTTAATGGTAGTGTATTGGTTGTTTGTGTGAAATACATATATGTATTTAGGTGATGCTACCCATKCATTTGTTGTTTTAGTCTTACACCCGTACGATACAGCAAATTTTCGATCACTAGTTTCAATACTTATACTATTAGTAGTTTAGATATCATATAGTGAATTGAACTATTATTCAACTTTTGGGTAAGAACATTATTTATCTATGATTAAGCACCTGCAAATTTTAATTTTTGTAATCTTATATATACATAAGCATGTAAAATTGTGAAATATCACAAATTAAAAATGTTTATTTCTCGTCTGAAAATAATATATCGAATACAATTTTAAAATGCTTAGGCAAATATTATAATGTTAACACTTTCGAATATGAACTTAGTTAAAAATAAATTAAAAAGCCAACTTAATGATATCACCCTTGATACTTGTTATAAGTTGAAAGTCAYAGATTACTCTTTAAATTTGGATAAATTGTGCGTAGAAATTCATCGTCGAAAATCCCACTAATTAAGCATTTAAGTTTTTTATTTTTGTGTATTATTGTGTCCAATTAAATAAATATTAAATTTGAATAAAAAGGAATTAATATTAYAATGTAAATGCATTTGTATGCGTGATAACAATGTATTAATGCAATATAGTTTTTCTGAATTTAAGACGTGGATAGGTATTTGGCTTCAGTCACAAATGTGCTAC